AACTTTATTCAAAATATTTTTTAAAAGAACAAACAATAAGGCAAAAACATTTTCAGATTTAAGGATTTCAGCTCTAGAAGCATATCATAAACAAAGTTAACAGGTGATAGAATGGGACAAAATCTTTCTGAAGTCAACAGCTAACAAGAGATTCAAATCTGGGATAGAGATTCAAATCTAGGACAAAGAACATCTGAAAAGCAACTTAATAGAAACACTGACAAAAGCATATGAACGAGTAAATTATAGAAAAACAGAATCCCAAGAGTCTAAGGAAAATATTGGACAATGATGAAGTTCACTAGTAATTAAGTGGGGAAAACATGTAAAACTAAGATATCACTTTACAACTGTTTTACTTTCCAAAAAAATGTATATATAAGAAAATACCAATGTTCATAAGGAATTAAGGATATGGGATTTTCCCACCCCCACTCCCACCATGTACAATTAGTAAATGTTTACAATGGAAAGTGATCTGGAAAAATTTGATCAAGTGAAATGTGTGCATACCTTCAGACTCAAAAATCTGTCCCTAGGAAAGTACCCTAAAAAATTTTTCAAACTGAGTTATTTGCAGTGGAGACAAGTGTAGGCAACCTGCTATCCCTCACTAGGAAAGTACATAGAGCATGCTACTCAGTGTGTGGTCCATGGGCCAGTCCCTGGGCCCTGTTTCTACTCTATGATGAGATAACTATAGAAAATGCAGTTGAGTTGAGCATTTAAAACTATTACAGAATTTTGACAATGCTGAGACATTTTTATTGCTTTTTACAAAATACTGGCCCACAATAGATAAGAAATTTTAAAAAGAAAGTGATCCTTAACTACAAATACTTGGATAAACACTTCCATAAAGAACTCCACATGTCCATGAATGCTTGATTGTAGAGAAGAGTTACTAAGAAGGGGTAATGGATCAAATGAGAATACAGAGATAAGTTGGAATAAGATCATACAGAGCTCTATAAGTATGTCAAGATTTTAGATGTAATGATTAGTATTTAACCACATTGGGGTTTCTAATTAAAATATTGAGAGCATAAAAGAAAGCATAATCAAATAAAAGTATATTTTTATTCTCTAATAGGTATATTTATTAAATGCCAGTCAACTTGCTCCTTGAGAATAAAGCCACTGGTCCATGGCAATGTCTCCCAACTGGAGATGAAATTATCTAAGTTAGGTGTCGAGATTCAGCCATTAAAATATAAGTCAATCATTGCATAGAAAATATTCTCCGACCCCACAAAATCAAATATTATAGCACTTCCACTTCTAGAATTAATTAAAAGATCGCAACAATCTTAGTTTTCTCTGATCTTCTTTCTTTGTACCTTTTCAGCTGATGTTTAGTCTTTGCTAGCCATGAAACAAAACAATGGCACTCAAGTGACTGAATTCATTCTCCTGGGATTTGGTGGTCAAAACGAGTATTGGCATACCCTCTTCGTAGTATTTCTAGTTATCTATATGGTCACACTAGTGGGTAATATTGGGATGACCCTGCTTATCAAGATTGATTCCAGCCTTCACACCCCTATGTATTTTTTCCTCCAACACTTGGCATTTGTTGATTTCTGCTTTACCTCTGCTATCACACCCAAGATGCTGCAAGACTTTGTAGGGACAGAAAAATCCATCTCATTCATAGGATGTATGGTGCAATTACTAGTTTATGCTACTTTTGCAACAACTGACTGCTATATCCTTGCTATGATGGCAGTGGACCGATATGTGGCTATCTGTAAACCACTCCGCTATCCAACACTGATGTCCCAGAGAGTTTGCATTCAACTCTTAGTTGGTTCATACATCATGGGTTTTCTAAATGGTTCTACACATACAAGTCTGACTTTCTCACTGAACTTCTGCAACTCCAATAAAATCAACCACTTTTTCTGTGACGTACCCCCAATTCTTGCCCTCTCATGTTCCAACATTGATTTAAACATCATGACCTTAATAGTCTTTGTGGGGTTTAACTTGACATTCACTGTGTTGGTTGTCATCTTTTCCTACACATATATTCTGGCTGCCATCCTGAAGATATCTTCTGCTTCAGGGAGAAGAAAAGCCTTCTCCACATGTGCCTCCCACCTGACAGCGGTCATCATTTTCTATGGGACTCTTGCTTACATGTATCTTCACCATAGGACCAACAAGACTCAAGAGCAAGAAAAAATGGCTTCGATGTTTTATGGCATCGTGATCCCCATGTTAAACCCCTTCATCTATAGCCTGAGAAACCAGGATGTGATAAAAGCCCTAAAAGGGATTGGAAAGAAGTGTTTCTAGTTTGATCCTCAATTCTCTATGCTTGTAAGCAACCACAATGACACTGCTAATTTTTAAGAAATCAAAACCAAAAAGTCAAACAACATAATAAAAGAGAGTTGCTCATTTTTTATCAACACCAAGCTACACATTAAAGTAACAATGAGATAACAACTTTATACCAATATGACTGGCAAAAATTGGGGAAAAAATGATAACGCTTATTAATTGTTGCAAGGTAAGGAGAGCGATGCTCTCACATGTTATTAATGGAAAATTGAAGTGTTACTTCACTTTAGAAGAAATCTCACCATGTCTTTTTAAAACAATAATCTTCAATCCAGAATTTCAGCCTCGCAAATTGATCTATGAAAATAAAAATTCCAGTCCATGTGAAGACATGTATTTAAAGATGTTCATTGTAGCCTCACTTAGGAAGACAAAACCAAAAAAAAAAAAATGAATATTCTTAAATAGGGAAATAAATCCATATTGTCATAATTCTAAAATCTATTGCTGCATAACAAATTTTCACAAATTTAGCGGTTTTAAGAAAAGATCTAATTATTATCTTGTAGTTTTATGGGTCAGGAATCGGCACACCAGTTTACTGTACCCTGCTCCAATCAAGCTGTCATCCAGGAATGAGAACTCCTTGGAGGCCTGGTGAGGATGGACCTGCTTCCCAGATCTTTCATGTTATTGGCAGAATTTGTCTCTTTGCAATTGTAGGGCTGGGGTTCCTGCCCTCCTGCTGGCTGTCAGCCAGGGGACGATCCCAGCAATTAGAGGCTACCCAGAGTTTTTTGCCACATGGCCCTCCTCATAATCCCTCTCATAACATGGCTGATTACTTCCCCAAAGCCAGAAAGCTATACATAGTTAATGAGTACATACACCGTGTGAACAACATCCTTCATATGTCCAAATCTTACTGCTACTTCAAGTGTCAGTGTTTCCCTGAAGCTTTTCTAGCTCAATATTTGCTTCCTATCAACTTTTTACCCCTGGAAATAAGTTCTTCTTCCACTGAAGACCCATAGTGCTTCATTTGCATCAATAATATTATTTATTATTTATCACCTCTTGTCTAAATTATTTATTTACATAAATGACCCTCACTATAACCTATAAGGCAGTTGGGATACATTTTTTTCCTATGAGCTTTTTTCCTGTCTGGTGTAAAGCTTTAGACACAGCAGGTATTCTATAAATATTGAATAAATGAATGATGACAAAAAACTATAATGTGGACAGCTTCCCAGCTGGGAGTTATGTATATAGCTCACACTGTTGGTCTCTAAATACAAAATGTGGACAGCAGCATCAAATAACCAGGGAAAATTTTTATGAAGTGCAAATAACTATACCCCAGTTCTGGAGATGTTGATTCAGTAATATTAGAAGGAGTCTAATATTTATAAGTATCTATATATGCAGAATGTTGCTTTAATTGCATGTGCCTCTAGAAAGCAGTATTTAAGAGCACAGGATTTAGAATCTTTTAGAATATGGTTTATGTCCCAACTCTGTCACTCACCAGCAATGTCTCTTCGTAAGTTAACTAAGCTTTTAAACCTTGTTTGTCATAATACACATGTCATGAGGTTTTTTAATTTATTTGTTAGCAATAAATAAGATAATGAATAAAAATCATAGTACCTGGCACTAATAAGCCCTCAATAAAAGTTAATAGTAATGAGTATTCACATGGATTATTTCAACATAGGTGTGATAGACATTACAAGAATCTCCTCACCACACACACACACACACACACACACACACACACACACACACACACAGTGAGTAAGAAATCTCTCAAGGTTTGCAACATGAAAATCTTCCCCTCTGAGAAGCTCCTCTCTATTTTGGCAGAAAACTGGCTAATAAAGTTTGTTTTCTTGGCTGCTAACAACAGTAACGAGGGCCACAGATTCTCAAAGGAAAAGGCACTAATCCCATAGCTTCAGCTACAAAATCTCTCTATAGAAAAATCATTAGGTGGGCAATCAGCCTCCACTAGCCCAGAAAAAAAATCTAAAGACAAATCTCCCATATATAAATCAAATTGCATTTTTCTTCTATTCGGCTGAGCATTTTTCTGGCATATGAGGACCACAGTAAAATCTGCAAGGTCAGAATCAATATACTAGCATGATTAACTCCAAGGTTCGGTAGAGTCATTTTATCTTCAGCAAAATAAAAATATAAATGGAAAGAGGAAATTATTGATGGTATGAAGAAGTTATAAAATGGCCCTGGAGATGATAGCTGATGTATTAGCCATAATGTTCCCAATTGAACGTAACCTTTACAGAATATTAGCAATAATTAGACAAGGCCTCTCCAAAATTAGATGGAGCAAGACAGAGACAAGGCCACTCTGTGATTATGTCTGAAAAAAGACAGAAGTAAGGACTCCTGGCAACCAGAAAAATAGCTAAACACTTCTCTCTTCCAACTAAAATTGGTAAATACTCCTTCTTTACCTACTTTATTTTTCTCCCTTCTTAAGTATAAATTACCAAAATATCCAATCACTGCATTCCTGATAACACTTAAAACAGAACTCACCTCCACTTCCTAAATCCTTCTTAAAATCACCCAGAACAAGCCTAAATCCTAGAAGATGCCTTCCCCAGTCCCTCTTATCCAACACCCTGTCCCTGGGGTGCTTTCGCTCGGGTAGCACATGAAAGAAACCTAAATTTGTCTGACTACATATGTACTCTTGGTGTTTCTTGGCTATTGGGCATGGACGATGTGAAATGTGCCAAGTGCATCTATTATCTCTCAGGAAACTTGCTTGTTTTGTTATTCACTTTTTTATTGCAAAAGAAATTAATATGTGTCCATTATTTTTTAAATGCAGCTGTTTTTAAAGTTAAAAATGGAGAGTTTCTATGTCCCTTGGTCCTACTCCTCAATTTACTTAAATTTGTCATATATCATTCTCAACAGCGATTTCTTCATGTACACACACAGTTTTTTTAATTAATAATCCATTCTCACTTCATGTTTTTCTGCAAAATGCTTTACCCACTTAATAGTATGTTATTAACATTTTCCCTAAGAATAATATAGTTTTATCTCATTATTTTTAGGTGTTTTGTGGAAGTACAAACTATAGATTAATTCTGATTTATTTTAATATTCCCCAGTCCATAGCCAATATTTTGCTGCAAGAAAATATTACATAGAATCTCTGTGTTTACAGTTAATATTTCATCTTATTTTTTAATTTCTTTTTATTTTTTAATTATAGTTTGACATTTAATAGTCTATCTCCTTTTATCAAAGATTAAATTGAGGAGGGGAGTTATATTTCTTGCCCAAGATCACATACCTATTAAATGGTAGTTTTGATTCAAATCTAGATCTTCCTAACTTCAAAGCCTATCTATTTTTCATTGCCAATAGTATAAAATAAAGCTTCACAGTGACTTGGATACAACATAATTCAGACAACTTCAAAACACTTGCATTATTTATCCAATTAAAAATCTCTTCTAGAGCTTCCACTTCTGGTTAAGATGGAGTAACCAAGATTGCATTCACCTTTCTGCCTTAAACAAGAAGAATTGGACAAAATATCTAAAATACTAGTTTGCAAGACATTGTATATCAGGCAATAAAGAACAATGATTCCTGAGAGGCAAGAAACAAATGAGCTCTAAAATTTCCCCAACTTTCTGTCTTAAGAAAGTTTTCAGACCACAATGCAGAGAGAGGGAGACTACTCAGGAAGAGTTTAGAGGAATTCATAAAGGAAATGAAGCTGAAAATTTGAAGAGACCAAAGCAATTAGAGTTTGCAGGACAGAATCCTGAAGAAAGGGAGATGTACAGAGAGAGAACCCCAAGGTTCGCAGAAGATCCCCCTCAATTATTTAGTTGAGTATCGATTTGCACACATACATGAGGAAACTAGGGAAGGAAATACTGAAAGGATTATAGATAACAATGCTCAATGCTCACACGAGGGTGAGAATAGTGCCTGTTCTCACCAGCCAGACTAGAAAACCTCAAGATTCATGATGCCTTGGACAAGAGTACACAGGAAAGACTTACCTCTATAGTGGAAAATAATTAGCCCTAGACTGAGCTCTGCTCCAGTCACAACTAACAAATCTACAAAGCAAGACTCCAAAGATCGGTTTCCAAGATATTTAACTGTGCTCCAGAACAAAGCTCAAGGATATTTATAAGAATACAAAAGTATCTGGTACCAAACCTGGAAACATTCACAATGTCTGCATCCAATCAAAAATTATCACACATGCAAAAAGCAGGGAGACATGATCATGAGAGAAAAAAAATCAGTGGTCAAAATGACCAAAAACTGCCAAAGATGTCAGAATTAGCAATCAAGAACATTAAAACAATTATTATGATTATGCTTTATATGTTCAAAAAAGATAAGTAGAGACATGAAAGACGCAGTGCAGACTACAGTGTATAAGGGTAAAAAAAGAAAAGAAAAAGAAAAATTGCACTGGATGGGATTAACTACAAATTAAACATTCCAAAAGAAGTGATTAGTGATCTCGGAGCCATAGCAATAAAAACTGTCCAACCCAAGAAAAAAGGCGAATCAAAAATCTAAGTGAAAACCGTATCAGTGAGCTGTGAAACAGCTTCAAAAAGTGAATTGAAGTTCCTATGGGGAGAGAGAAACCAGGAGAAACAAAGTTATATAAAATTTTCTTTGAAAAATAACACTGAAAGTTTTGTCAATTTGATGAAACTATAAAGCCACAGATTCAAGAATCCCAAGAAAGCCCAAGTAAAAGAAACACGCAAAAACTACACCAAGATACATCAAATTGCTCAAAACCAGAAATAAAGGGAAAATCTTAAATGCATCCGAAGGAAAAAAAGGTACACTATGAATAGCAGAACAAAAGTAAAGATAAATTCTTGTCAGAAACAATGAAATTAAAAAGACAGTGGACCACCATCTTAAAGTGTTTTAAGAAATAATTCTTTCATAATAGATCAAATGATATTCTATCCATC